GCTGAAAAAAACTGCTCCATCAGAATATCTTGAATATAATGAATATGCATCAAATGAAAGTGCACGTGGAACAAATTTCAATGATAAACTTGATGGTGAATATGATTTACTTTCTGATGAAAAACGAGGAAACAATATCGAAAGAACATATAATGAAGCTCATCGTGTATTACCATTATTTAATTCTGAAATTTATCGACAAATGCAACAACGTAATTTATTATTAACCCGTATTGAATTAGACTTATACGTTATTTGACTTCAAAGCTATACCAAATTGATTTTTTTCATATAGAAAAGATATATAAGCGGTAGACTAAAACTAAAAATATTCTTGTTCACACACACAATAGTTGGAAAAGCTGAATCAAAAAAACACCCTTCAAAAAAAAAGCTAAAACCAAAATGTCTCCTTGAAAAAAGAAGTATCTTTAGATTTTATTGTAATTCAACACGTTTTCGTATTGGTGTTGGACTTGTAGCACGTGCCATAGTTCGGCTAACTGTTTGCATTGTTTGAGCCATTTGTGATATATCATCCCAGCGTTGAGATTGTATTAAATCTTCAAGTGATTTAAGACGATCAATTTCCTTAACACGATCTTCAAGTTCTTGAATTTCTATTCGTAAACTATTTGCTATATCTTCCTCCTGAGCAAGCTAAATATTTTCAAAAAAAAAAAAACAATATTTAAGTAAATAAGAAAATTTTCCTAGTAAAAGGAAAAAGTTATTAGCGTAATCACTGTGGGTTTAAAATTTGAAACATAATGTAACTTCTGTTGATATTCATAGGAAGATTGTTTTATTCTATCTATTTTAGGATACATTTCTTCATCATCTGTTTACTTAATCCTTCAGAAATACAATAAGGACATCGAAGAGAAAGCAGCAAAGGCTTCAAGATTGAAGTCTCATGAAATCTTAAGAAGTCTTTGAGCTCTAGCTTTTAATATATGTCGAAGCAAGGTCTACGAAAGATGCACACGAGAGAATGAAATGCATGTTTACATTCAGAAACACAATAAAAATATAAAGAGGGTGTGGATGCAGGCTATAGCTCATTGGGTCTAGGTACAGAAATTCTTGGATCCGATGGGCTCTAGTGCAGGTGAAACAATGACCCACACCTATACTATGAAGCACCTTCATGTCAATCAAAGTATAAATATGAATCTTTTTAATCTGTGCGCAACTTCCAGGATCCTGTTGAAGTCTCATGATGTCTACTGTTTCCTCCTCGAAGGAAGTAGTTTATATATAATAATGAGACGTTATTGATATACATTCTATGGCCATATATCAACAGCGTATTGTCACAATCTGTGATGTACATAGCGAGACATTGCTAAAATGTCTATCATGTCTGTGATGAGTCGTTTCTTACGTGTTTATAATGGTCTGTGAGAGGTTGCAAATTTCTACCCTGTGTATCTCAACACTCCTTTTAGTTGGTTTTATTACAAAAAATAAAATAAAATAAAATAAAATTTTACTTGTTGTTGTAATGTACTAATATGACTTGCTAAATGATCTTTGTCACGTTGAAGAGCATTTATTTCATCTTGTAAACGTACATTACGTAATTCATATTCATTTAATTCACGTTTAGCAGTTGATGCATTTTGAATTTCAATATTTAATTGTCTTTGTAATTGTTTATGCTAGAAATGTAAAAAAAGTAGATTTCTTAATAAATATTATTATTATTATTATTCATACTTGTCCATCAAGATCTTTATTTCTCATTGCTTCTGTATCCAACTTATTTTGAATACTTTCAACTATACTATGAAAACTTTGTTCTTTTTTCCGTAAAGCAGCTATATCTCTATCTTTTAATTGTAATGCATCAGTACGTTCTCGTAATGTATGACGAAGCTAAAAAGAAAAAATTCAATATTAATTAATAAGAAATATTTTTCAATGTTTTACTTGTTCTAAGTCTCTTTCAAATTGTTTGGTTAAATTTTCTAATCGTGATACTTCTTTCATTAAAGCACTTTTTTCATCAGCTAACTAGAAAATATATAAATAGCTCATATGAAAAAAAAACTGACAAGAGGAAAAAATTTTTATTTACTTTATTACGAAGAAATTGAGCTTCATTATAACGAGCATCATGTGATTTAAGTTCTTGTCGAAGAGTATTAAGTTCTTTCTAAAATAAAGAGAAAAAATAATCTAAATTAGATAATACAAAAATTGTAAGATATAAACCTCTAATTGGGCAGCATGATCCTGTAAACGATCTTTTTCTCGACTAGTTAATTGATAATCATTAAGGCTACGTTGTAAATTAGTTGATTCGAGTTTTAAACGATGAAGTTCATCATTTAAATCTTTATTTTGATTTAATTGTTGTTCAAGCTTAAAAGTAATAATTTAGAGATAAAGATTTTCAAATATTAAGAAAAAAAAACAAACCTGTTGTTCAAGTACACGAATTTTTGTTTGAGAATTTTTTAATTCATCAGATGAAGCACGTGATCGATCACGAATTTGTCGTAATTCTTGATCACGCAACATTTTTTCTTGTTCAAACGTTTCTCTTGCTCGTCGTAACATATCTAATTCTTCAAGTAAATTTTGTTTTTCAATATCGAATTTTTCTATGAAGAAATAATAAAAAAAAAAAGTTAACTATTAATTAAAGATATATGATTTATTCTTACGACGAAGTTCATCTAATGCTATTGTTAAACCATATTTTTCACTTTCTAATTGATCAAATTGAGATGATGTTTCAACAAGACTTCGTTGTAACTTAGAACGTTCTTGTTCTATTTGATGTACACGATCATCTTTTAATGATCGATCTAGTATTATTGAATTCTTATTTAATTGATCACGCGTGCACTGATAGTTAAGGAAAAACAAAAACATTTCTTATTTCCTAACAATGAAAAAAAATCAAGCAAAAAAAAGAAATTTAATTAAAAAAGGATATAGATAGTGGCATTCTGTTTCCAAATAGTAGATTTGTTCTTGTAATTGTTTAATATATTCTGTTTCAAGATTTTGTGCCGATGAATTTATTAATCGTTGTTTTGTAGGACTTGTTCGACTAATAAGAGACAAAATAAACAAATTGTGTAAAATACGCGTTATTGTACATATCTTGTATCAATCAATGACGAATCCTTCAGTGATCGAGACTATTATCATTTTCATTAACATTCAATGCCTCATATCTCTTATATTTCGTTTAAAAAAAAATTAAAATAAAAAATCGACGAACAATATTAAAACGTAATAAAAGAATCAAGAAGACACATAAATCATGTCAAAAAGGGACGTTACAATTTTTTTTTCAAACAATGATATATTGATTATTTTAATAAATTATCTTTGTATGACCATGTTTCACCTTGTATAGATATAACTTTGATCAATGGACAAACAATCAATCCTTGAAATATTTAATTGCATACTTTGCCTTTGGTTCATTTTTTTTATTTTATTTATAATGTACGAGGACGGACAGTTTACATAAAGAGTCTTCGTCTTCTTCTTCATATATGTTCACTAAAATGAAATCATTCATGTATTGTCAAATCGAACAGACACACTATCAATACAAGTGCGAACACATTCAACATAGGGTCACGCTTGGCCAGTTTTCTTTCTTATCTTTTCTTTCACATCAATCTCAATACTGATCAGTTGTACTTGTTTGGTTCTTTTCAATCAAACGTTCACTCTTTTACATAAAATGGGTACAATACAAACAACTCATAGTCATCATAAACGTTATCGAGCACCATCAACAACAAAATCAGTTGATAATACAAAATATCGATGTGTTAATCGTTTTCGTACAACAATGCGTAGCATAACACATCGAGCATTATCTTCTCGACATTATCATAATTCTGTTTCATCATCAAATAATTCAACTTTAAATAATAGTTCATTTACATCACCAAATACAATAACAACAATTAATTCACATATGGATACAGATCCACATTTAAGTGATTTTGATTATCGAAAATTATCAACATTAACTGGTTTATCAGAATCAAAAATAAATGAATTACATCGAGAATTTTTAATTCTTTCACATAATGGTCAGTTATCTTATGAACGATATAAAGCATTACTTGAAACTGTACCTATTCAACGTACATCAATACAACTTGAAAAATTAACACGACAAACATTTACATTATTTGATAAAGATGGAAATAATTATTTAGATTTTGCTGAATTTATAGCTGCTTATATAACTATGGAAAAGAATGAACTTAGTCTAAATGATAAAACAATATTACGTAAAGAATCAACAGTACGTCCAACAATAACATCTCTCACACGACAAGCAACAACATATTGTTCTCCATATAGAACTCTAAATAAAACATCATATCAAACAAAATATTTTCCAAATAATTATACATCCTATCATCCTCAATCATTAGAACAATATGTCTACATTTCTCCACAATATACAGTCAGACAAAATGAAAGAACATAAAATATTTAATTGTTTGTTTTTTTTTCTTTACTTGAAAGCTTACCCAAGAGTACTTTGTTTTCCACCGGTCGATCGAAGTGAAATTGGTTTTGTTCGATTCCATTTTTGAGAACTTGTCAATGGTGCCGAACATACTGAACATCTTTCCATCATTAATGTCGACATCTTACAAAAGAAACACGGAAAAATTTTCGAATAATTTAATTCTTTTTTTTTCTCGGATATTTCAATAAGTCAAATAAATTATAAATTAATATAGACATTCATTGCTAAAATGTTTTGTTTTTAGTTCTCCTTGACAATCCTCATTGCAGTACACTAAAAAAACTCAGAGCATGTGAAGAATGTCGCTATAAGTCTCTAGTAATTTATATTTGGTTGTATTTTTCAACCGATAAGAAAAAAGGACGTCATATGATATGAGAGATGTGTGAATATGACAAGTTGTATTTTATTTTTTTTCAAACGTCGTGCGCAATTACTGTAATTCTATCCTTTCGTTTGACATAAAGAGCAAAACATGACACAATCCTCTGAATCTTTTGGTAAATGATTAGTAAATGCAAACAATTTAGAACTTTTGTTTTTATTTAGACTATTTATTTAAATTTCTAATTATTGGTAGTGCATCGACGGGCAAATCTTGTATATTGCACCAATTTCTTGAAAATAAATGTAAAATATTTTTTTAAAAATATTTGTATTAAAATAATTTATTTGTTTTTTTGATAATTGATTAATTATAGTTAAAAATGATAGTACACATACAATTGGTGCTGAATTTGGTTCAAAAGTACTTACGGTTGGTCAAAAAAATGTGAAACTTCAAATTTGGGATGTATGTTGATTATTATTGTCTTTTTTTTTAAAGGAATTGGCGCTGACACTCTCTGCCCTAGGTTTTTTTTCTTGTAACAATTTTTTTTTGTTGAAAGTGGCGATCCTTCTTTCGTATTACGATGAAACTATCCCAACTGACAGTCATTGTTTGAATTTATATTGGACCTACAGGTAGATCTTAGTGAGACTAGTAAAAGTCCCCATCGGCCTTTGTCACTGGGTTATGATTCATTTACTGGTTTTTCGATTCATTTGTAAAGTACGTATAATACAAATTTGAACGAAATTTTTATTTCGATTCAATCACTATTTGGCTGAAAAAAGCGTAAAAAATTCGAATGAATAAAAATGTAGTATTTGTAATCAAGGACTTGCTTTTTTTTTACAGAAAATATCGAATTTCAACTACACTTTTTTTTTCTTTAAATTTTTTGAAAACATAATATTCTGAATCGGCATCGAAACTTGTATAGAAGAATGTTATATGATTAGATTTACAGTTAATCAGTTTAAAAATATCTCGACTAATCTAAAAAGTTCCGACACGTCTCACAGCACGTATTTGTAAATATTTTTATAAGCCTATCTAGTTTTTTTTAATTTTGTTTTATTGTTGAGAAAATCGAATTTTTTTTATTCAGTGGCAAAATCAGATAGAAAAGTGTCGAATGCGTTTGTATTTAGAAGTTTTTATGGCCATAGTTTAGTTGTAAACCAAAAGCCACAGCATATTTAGAATCAACATCAAGAACTGCATCGGATCGCATATGTTTTAAGAATTTTTTTTCTTCTACGAAAACCCAACTCTTTTGGGGAGTAGGGACAAAATTTTAACAAAATAGATCTGAGGGACACCATGGGTGTATTCTTCATTGGAAATAGTTTTTACTGAAATATATGTCATTCGATGTCGTTTTTGACATTGGTTCCGAATATGCTATGGATTTTAGTTTACAATTGAGCTTTGGCAATAAAAATCCCTGAAGACGAACGTATTTGTCACTTTTTTATCTGATTTTATCACAGAATAAGGAAAAAATTCAATTTTCTCAACAATAAAACAAAACTAAATTAGTAATTTTGTAGCTCACGAACTAGAGATTCTAATGAGATAAAATACTTCTATCTCTTATTAAAAAGAGTTAGATAGGTTTACAAAGATATTCACAAATACGTGCTATGAGGTATGTTGGAGCGATTTATATTAGTCGAGATATTGTTAAACTGATTAACTGTAAATCTAATCAAATAATATTTTTCTATTCAGATTCTTTTGCTGAATTAGAATAAAATGTTTTCAAAAAGTTAGAGAAAACAACGTAATTGAAATTTGATAATTGCTGTAAAAAAAAACGAAATCATATTTCCCAATGCTACATTTTCAGTCGATCGAGTTTTTACGTTTTTTTTTCAATTAAACAGTGGTTAAATCAAAATACAAACGTGCATCCTATATGGTTTTCCAAAAAAAAAAAACAGATGGCAGAATTTCGATCTAAAATTTAGCCTATAGATAGATCGAATAACTCTTAGGAATATCCTAAAATATTCAGCCGAAAAAAAAAATGTTCATTCGTCAAGATATTGAATTTCCAACAATAGCACTTGGCCATAGATGTATTGCAAAAATCAAGTTCACTTCAAAAATTTAATAACTGAACGAAGGAAAGTTCTTTTCGACTGAATCTTTCAAAATATTCTAAGAGTCATTAGAGCTATCTATAGACAAAATTTTGAATCAAAACTCCAATATTCGGTTTTCCAGAGAGTATCTAAAAACGAGTCAAAAATTCAATAAATCAGTCATAACTCGGCACCAAAGGTCAATGAGGACTGATCCTTTTAAGCTTTTACTATTGTCACTGTGACTTATCTATGAGTGCAATATGACGTTAAACATCAACTGTCAATTGGGGTATTTCACTTGTTTCGCAAAAAAAATCAATACTTTAGAAAAAGAATAACTTTCAAGAAATATTGATCTCCTTCGAAATAATTTCTATTAATTAATGAAACTGATTCTGTTCTAAACATAATGATTTTGTTCACTAACACTGAAAAGTTGAATGTGAGTTTGTATTATCTCATATCATCACACTACTCACAATCAAAAACAAAAGAAAAACTAAAGTGAAGGGGAGCGGGGGAGGGAGGGGGAATAAGGTGTACGATTCATGAAAAATCACCATTTCTTTTTTATTTAGACTGCTGGACAAGAAAGATTTCGATCAGTAACACGTAGTTATTATCGTGGTGCATCCGGTGCTTTACTTGTTTATGATATTTCAAAGTGAAAACCAAAAAAAAAATGTTTTATTTTTTTTCTTTAAAATGAATTTAATTTTAGTCGAGAAAGTTACAATGCAATAACAAATTGGTTATCAGATGTTCGTACATTAGCTAGTCCAAATATTGTAATAATTCTATGTGGAAATAAAAAAGATTTAGAAGAACAACGTCAGGTAACATTTCTTGAAGCTAGTCGATTTGCACAAGAACATGGTAAAAATATTTTCCTTTGAAAACAAAAAAAAAAAACAAAAAGTTTTTGTATAAAAATTTTATTAAAGATTTAATGTTTCTGGAAACATCTGCATTAACAAATGAAAATATAACTGAAAGTTTTCATCAATGTGCTCGTATTATTCTCACAAAAATTGAATCAGGTTATTTAATTATATTTATTATTGATATGAATAAATTTCAAATTTAATTCTTTAGGTAGTATTGATCCATTTCGGATGTATTCAGGCATTCAATGTAATCGTACAGTTGCTGCTCAGCAAAATGAAAATTCGCCTAATAATATATCACGAAAATCATTACGAAATTGTGCATCATGTCAAACATAATTTTATTCATATCTATAAGATATACATTCTATTTATTAATTTATTTTTTTGTTGATTCACTTTTTTTCCGAGTATATAGGACAGAAAACATTCCAAAATATTGCAAAAAAAAAATCCATTACGAATTATTATTGTTTAGTGTTGCTATTTTAGCTATCGCCATCGCTAATATTATTGCTGCTACTGCTGCTTTTATTTTTAATTTGTATGAGGTTATAAAGTACAGCATCATAAATATAAATGATATATATATATTATGATTAATGATTCTTGCTGTTTATTAATTGTGTGGAAAGTATGATTAAGGTGTATGTAGTATTTTGATAATTAATGTTCGTTCGTCTATGTACAAGTCATGCGTCGAACTATGAAATGAATGTGAAGCAGAGATGTCTGTCGCAACTAAAAAACTCACGCCGCGTTCCTAAAAGAGACAAGACTACCACGATGCAGTGAATTTTATTTAAAAAATTGCCGCTGATGCGATGGTTTTCGGGAAATTCTTTGAAAATTTCTTTCGTTACTGCAATACATTAGCACTGCTTCATCGATTCCTTCAAATTCATGACCATTCAAACCGTTGGACTTGTAGACACTCAAATCGGATGCAAATTCATGCAATTTTACAATCTTCCGAAAAAAAGAAGTTGCTGCTGTCGCTTAAAAGAAAAATGTCGCTATGGACACAGCTGATGTGCAATTATTTTGAATGTAGTAGATGAAATCGTCAATGTGTTTTTTTTGTTTTCGTTACAAAAGATCATAAACTAACGACATCTATACATTAAAGAAAAAGATTATAGTTGAATTAAAATAAATTTTATGTTTTTTAGTTTAATTAGAAAGAGAAAAAATACACATATTAATAAAATTTTGATTGGAATTATTTGGTTTCTAAGCAAACAGTTTCCTTGGTGATAGAGTAATGACAGCTATCTGTTGAAGTGTGAGTTTATTCTTTCTTAGATACATTCTGATTGATAACTAAACAAGTTGTTACAAATGGTATGTTATGAGACAATAGCATGTGAAGAGAACATTTTTTTACATCATTATCTAATATTTCTTTTGTATTCTTAGTCGACCGATGAACGATATTGTTTCATAGGCGAATGGTACGATTCACAAGCATCAATGACTCGCACTTATCAAGTGCTTTTTTATCCATCGGATAATAGTATTGAAATGGTGAATAGAATTCATTGTTTTTTTTGGGATATTCTTCTATATATTCATATATGGTTTGTTTATTTAGTTTGACGTTAAAACTCGTCGAACATTTCTTAAACGTACTAAAAATGAAGCAGCAAAATTAACTGATTTTTTTATTGGCAATACAATAAATATATTTTCTCGTTCAATAAAAATTGTTGATTTTGGTGATGCATTTACTGCTCGATGTATTGGTAGAAATCAAGAAAGGTTAAAAACAAAAGACTATTGATCTTTTCATTATTTTTCTTTATTTAGAACATTAGCAATTATAAAACCAGATGCCATACGCAATTTAGGTGATATAGTAAGTACTATTTATGAAAATGGTTTTACAATTGCACGAATGCGAATGATTAAATTATCACAAAATGAAATTATGTATTTTTATGGAGAACATAAAGCAAAAGATTTCTTTCCGTATGTTTTCTAACAGTTATATATTATCATATTTAATAATACGATGACATATATTTTTTTTAGACGATTAGTCGAATTTATGATAAGTGGACCAATTGTTGCTATTGAACTTGTTGGATCTGATGCAATTAATCGTTGGAGAAGTATAATTGGACCAACTGATTCACAAAAAGCAAAAGAACAAGGTTCACATTTACTTCGAGCACGATTTGGCACAGGTTTTGAACTTATGAATAAGTTGATTTATTAAATAAATTAATTGTTTAGATGGAACAAGAAATGCTTTACATGGTTCAGATTCAGCAACAAGTGCTCAACGAGAAATTTCATTTTTTTTTGGTTCAAAATATGGTACTAATACAGCTTGTTATAATGATACAACATGTTGTCTTATTAAACCACATGCAGTTGCTGAAGGTAAACGAGATTAAATTAATAAGTATTGATTTTTGATTTTTCACGACTTGAATTTTGTTTCTTACAGGAAAAGCTGGACAAATTATTAATGCTATTCTTATTGCTGGTTTTCAAATTTCTGCTATTGGCACTGTAAGTCAATTATATCTAGAAAATTATTTATGTATATATTTTTTTTGTTCCTTTTTTCTTTCAGTACAGTTTAGATAAAGTTAATGCCGAAGAATTTCTCGAAGTTTATAAAGGTGTTGTTCATGAATATCCTGTAAGTAATTCTTTTCTTACGATCCAACTGTTGAACATCATTCGACTTCATATTTTGGATATGAATATGTCTCGATAAAACTAAGATAAAGACCTATGACCATTTAGGTTAAATTTTTATTGAGAGCTAAGAATTTCGACCTGAAATATTGTCTATAGACTCATTTAATAGTCATTAGAGTGTTGAAAGTTTCAATGAAAAAGAACATATCTTTCTCGGTATATTCGATATTCCCAAAAAACAGCAGTTTACGATAGGAGGACATAATCATTGAGTCTATTTGGAAATCGAATATATTGAGAAAGACATGCTTGTTTTTGTTGAAAATTTTACGTGAAAATCCTTTGTTTTGGGTTTTTTTGATAATGTCTTGCTCTCAGTAAAAATTTCATTTAAACCGTCATAATTCTTTATTAATACGCAATGAATCCGAATTCTTTTAAGCTTGTCTTACGAAGGAAGTCCTCTAACTGTTTTTGAGTTGAGACTATGTGCATTATGTAGATCTAAAAGAGCTTTGAGTACTCTGAGAAGAGTTCATGTTCTGAGCTTATTACTGTGAAAATCCTGCACTTGGATGGTATTTTTTTTTACATGAATGGCATGGTAACAGAAAAACTGATCTTCGACTTGAAACTTTGCATAGAGACAAGCCTTAACGAAAATAGTTTATTGTAAAAATTTTAGATCTTTTGAATTGCTTCTATCCTTGAAATAAGAACATTAAATCTGCTGGTTTATATGTCTATGATGTAAAAGATACACTATCGTCCATAGTTATAAAAATTATTCTCGTTAAGGTCTGTCTTTATGCAACGTTTCAAGTCGAAAATCAGTTTTTCTGTTATCACGGCATCCATTTAAAAAATATTGTTAAAGTGCAACATCTCCGTAGCAATAAGCTAATATCAAAAACTCTTTTTAAGGTATTCATCATTTATCTGGATCTACATAATACACATAGTCTCAACATAAAACCGATTGAACAGTTGGAAGACTTCACTCGTTAGTCTCACCGAGATCTGCTTGTAATCATAATATGAAGTCGAATGGTATCCGATAGTTATATATGTTCCGCCGTTAGTGAGATCTTAAATATTTCTGTTTTTTATTAGAAAATGGTTGAAGAATTAATGTCAGGTGCATGTATTGTTCTTGAAGTTCGTTCTCAAAATGCTCAAGCAGTTTTTCGAGATTTTTGTGGTCCAGCTGATCCAGTATGTTAATAATGTAATATCTATTTTTGACTTAGTCATTTTTTGTTCAAGGAAATCGCTCGTCATATTCGTCCGAGAACATTGAGAGCTCTATATGGCAAAGATAAAGTGAAAAATGCTGTTCATTGTACAGATTTAGCTGAAGATGCAACATTAGAAGTAATTAAATATTTCGAAGTTCTTTGTTTTCTATTCTAAATTTATCTTATTTTCAGGTTGAATATTTCTTCCGAATTTTGGACAATTAACAGATGCAAATCTTTTTTTTTTAAATTTTAGATTCCTTTTCTTTGATTATTTGCGAATAAAAAACAAAATAAATAATTCTATCACATTTTGAATAGTTTATTTTTTTCATAAAAAATTTATACAATGAAATTCAAATGAAGTAAAATAAGAAACTTTTATTTATGTTAAATATTGATTAATCATTTGTAACTAAAAAAGAAACAAAACAACATGCTTCAATAAATAAAAATTGTATGAAAATATCACTTACTGGGTGGTAATATTCTTCGTCGATCACGAGGTATTTGATGTTGATGCATGATATCAGATGATATCGAAATTGGTTGAGATATTGATGAATAAGAAATTTGTTCATAGTTTGATGATTGTACTTGTTGTTGACTTTGTTGAGCTTCTTGATGATTTGAAAGGTTATACGATGTGGATGTAATTTGTGGTATTGTTGGTCGAATAATGTCATCATGATTTGATGATTGTTTTTGTTTTCGGTGTGTAAATAGTGATGATAATCGTTGTCGACGATCGGTAGGTTTAGATTGAGGTAATGATTTTTGGATGATTTGTTCATTAGAAGATGTTCGAACTTCCAGAGGAGATTCGAATTCTAAAAAGTACTTATATTTATATCAAAATACTTTTTGAAATGATAATGTTTTTTTTTCAAACAGCAATATTTATATGAACTCTTGACATACCTTTTGGTTGAATCTTAGTATTCCCAAAAGTTTCGATACCTAGAGTTAATCATCATTCTATGTATGTGTTATATTGTGATTAAAGACTCTTTATAGAGAACTAAATTAAGGCAGTTTTTTATATGCGTTGCTTACCCAGTTTTGGCTTAGAATTGCATTTCCATAAAATAAAACCAATCATTCCTCCTAATAATAGAACACCAAGGATCGAACCAATGACAATCAATGCAATTTTCCAACCAGCAAGAGATTCTATTCATAATTTTCCAAGAAAAGAAATTTAAGAATTAAACAAATCACTCTTTATTCATACCTGATTTATTTGTCGGTGTAGTCGTACTTGCTAAAAATAAAAAAACAAACAATTATGTTTAATTGTTATCGGTTTTTATTTTCAGAAATTCTTTCGCAAGTTATAGCAAGAAGTCGAATGGCATTTCTTTTTGTAAGCAAAATAAAAGATAATTCTTGATTAGCGTTACTATCTCATCGTCTGGTCCAAAATATTTTTTGGCTTTCATTTCTAAAGATATATTGCTGTAAAAGTCAGAACTGTGCTAAGCTGTACAAACCCTGAAAAACTTAGTTTCGAAAACTTCTATCTTGAAAAAAAAAGCTTATGGTTTCTTTAGGTGCCAATCTCGTGAGTTTATCTTGTTTATTAATTCTACGAATATTTCTTAGAAACAACTCTTTATATTCATATTTGATGCGCAATAAATGATGATCTGTAATAATTCAAAATGAGCAAAAGAGAAAAAAGATATATGTGAAACAAATAGAATTTTGCTTTGTTTTGGTCAAATTTCTTTTTATGAGTACTATGATCAAATTAGAGTATCCATTTTCTTCAAAATGCTGTTCCTACAAAATTCAACAGTCTTTACACAATTAATACCATTGAAAAGAGCACGTTTTTTTGACGGTACTTTCAGTATTTGGCTTCTCCTACGTTCGAGAAACAATATTTTTGAAAGAAAAATAGAAACACACACCCCGATTCGATCCTAGTTGTCATCGAAACAAATTGCAATTCGAAAAAAATGAAATATAGTTTTGCTGGGAAGAAAACTTTCGATCTTTGCGATTCATACATCTTTCTGAAAGAAGCATCTAGAAGTTTTGAGTCTGTGACACTTTTTGCTCTGCTTATCGAGATCTATCTGCTTTGAAGATTTCATCATTTTTTATCGAGCCGTTTCCGAGAAACATCAGAAAGGTTAAGACCCTTAAACAGATAAACAGAATAGTTTACTATATTTTGTTTTAACTGCCATCATTTTGCATGCCTTTTTTCATCGATTAGAAGACCTATCAAATTAAATTTAAACAACAGAGTGAACGATTATAGCAATTATCGAAGATACATTTAATAACTAAACCGCAATTTATAGTTTTAAGTTGCGATATTATAATTTATTTAGACGTAAGTGAAAAAGAGTTTGAAATTTTCTTACTTCATGATCAGGAATGATATAAGATTTTGAAAAAGACACAGTTTATTGAAACTTATTCTAATTCCGTCAAATTAAACTATGCTTTCTTACTAAGCGCTACATATCTGTCGTCTTTTTCGAACATCTGGTTGTATGTCGGGATCCTGAGTCAAATCAGAAACAAATCGAAGATGAAGTGCGACTTCGATTAAATCCTTTTCTTGAGTCAAAAAAAAATGATTTCACAATTTCAAGCTAAAAACTTGAAATCTAGTCATTAAGAATATCACCGTCTATTATCGTAGCATGTTAAACTCTTTACAAAATTAAGTTGAAAAGTAACTCAATCGAGAAGAAGATAGAAATAAACTATTATTGAATTATATCATTGTAACAAATTGCCTTGCGAACTCTAATCTTAGTACGATAAAAAAACACATAAGACAGGTAAAGCAGATGTACAAAATAAAAAATAAAACTATAGTATCATTTTTCGTAATCAATAGAAAACAATACCAACAAACATTGATTGTAATTCCCTCGACATTTTCGAGTAGAAGAATTAGGAGAAGCTAAGAATATTGTTAAAAAATATTAAAATGATGAAATCTAAAAAGGCAGAATTTTTCTGTTAAAAGCAGAAGAGGTGGCAACACTATTTTTGGCTAACATGTATCGTACTAATCGAAGAGTTAGTAGTATTTGGTAATTCTGAAGAAACAATAAATGGAATAATGATTCTATACAAATATGTAGAGGATATACTTGATGACACTGATGAATATATACTATCATTGTAGTTGGTCATACCTTCTGGATTTGTAACTTCACTTGTATCTGAGTGAGTAATTGTAAGTTCCGAAGGTGATGAATTCATGGTAGTAGGTTCGATACTGGTTACTACTGAAATGATGCTGTGTTAGGTCATATTTTTTGGTAAAAGAAAACAATATGTTTGTTTTTCTTCTTATGACATCAAAAAAATATTTGATGTATCACTTAACAATCTTACGGGACCTCCTTTTCAGAGTTTCTCAGAAATGGACTGATGAAAAATGATAAAACTTTCAAAGTAGATAGATCTTGATAAGTAGAGCAAAACTTGTCATAGACTCAAAATTCCCGGATGCTTCTTTTAGGAAGATATACGAGTCGTAAAGATCGAAACGTTTCTTTCCGCAAAATTCTATATATCACTTTTTCGAGTTGCAATTTGTTTTGATGGCAACTAGGATCAAATGTGGGTGCGTATTTTTGTTTTTCTTTCAAAAAAAATATTGTTGTTAGAGTTCAGAAGAAGCAAACTAGTGGTAGCACCGTCAAAAAACGTGTTTTTTTTCAAGGGTATCAATTTTTTAAAGGCTGCCGAATTTCGTAGGAACAACTTTTTGAAGAAAAGAAAAAACCACACATCCTCATTTGACCAAAGTACTCATAGAAAAATTTGAACCTTTCAACGTTTAAAGACAATTTTTAGATCTCAAAATGTACTCAGTAGATAGACATCACTTCAGACTATACAATGATGACAAAAACCAAAAATTTTGTGTCACGAAAAGGAAGGGGAAGGTACCCTTAAGGATATCTCTTACCCTCATATGTACATGGCTGAATGTCAATATTAAACCGGTATTTTGTATAGATAATGTCATACACAATTGACAGATTAACAAAACTCGAATTCGATAAGTCTTCTAGTGTGAACATAGCATTGTTCAAATCATAGAACGTATAGCATCGATCTTTGGCATCGGTTGTATTCAAACAGTACAAAATATTGAGTACACATTGCACATTAGTATTGTGTTGTATTAAAATTGTGCAATTGTCAGGTGCGCCAAGTGTTGTTACCATCGGTTCTTTGATTAATGATACGTCTGAAAAGAAAATAGTGACATTCTAATAAATCATGAATATAGAAATAATAAATCTATTGTAATTGTGCACTTTTTAAAAACTCACGAGGGAACATTTCTAAGTGGATGATCATTTTTGCTTAAGACTACTGTCATTCAATTGGTCATGGTGAGTAGGAAAGAAGTCTGATTTGGTTTGGTTTTTCGATCTGCACTTGTCAAGTTACGGACGTTGTACTTAATATTTACCGATGAGCGTAGCATCGGTAAAACTCTCGATGATCGGATTTCTGGCTAAAATGTTATCCACAGATAGGTCTCATAGTCACTGGAAATATTTCAAAGTATGAGTTAGAACAAACATATCCTTGATAAGATATTTACATTTTAAAGAAATGCTTTTCTTGAATTGTACTTCCAAAGAAAGACGTTTCTGTGAGAAGTTGATATCTCTATATAGATATGTTTGCTCTAGCTCAAAATTTAAGCTGTCTCTAATAACTATAAGATCTATGTATGGACAACACTTTAGGTCAAAATTCGATGATCTCGGTTTCAAGCGATTCTGTACTAATAGAGTAAAATTTGAGTAAAACCCCCATAACTCGACAAGCAAAGATCGGAAAATCAAACCAAAACAGATTCTTTTTACTACTCATCATGATCAATCGAATGGCAACAGTGTCAAGCGAAAATCGATTGAATAGTTGAGAATGTTCTTTCATCAATAATTTTCGATGAGATTAAAAACACTGTGCCCGATAACTTTCCCGATGTTAGAAAGTTACTAAAATTTTTCTATAGGATAGGAATTATCGAAAATGTTTTCTTGTTCGAAGAAAAAAAGCTTTGTGTTTTACCTTTGCAATATTCAACAATGTAAATTAAAGTACTGCCGACCTTTTCCACATGTGGAAATTATACACATGATATCATTATCATGAATATAGCTTTTTTGATTATCACTTTGATGAGTATCGAGAAATTTTATAAGATAAATACACATGTGGAGGTATATCTCTTTAGTTGAAGTACGGACTTGTTTTCTTTTGGTTCAATTCTAATTGTTAGAAAAGTTATGTCCGTGCATTTATTAAATAATTACTTCTCTCCATCAAAACCCACACTCACACTCATGTAAGCAAGTGGCATGGTGACTAATTGTCCGTGAGCAACTGCTCTAAGCTTAGAAAAACAATATTAAGTATAACCTTGAATAGATTTAACTTTCGAAAACTGACAGCTGTACAATAATCTAGATCTGTCTAAAAAATATTGTTGCTATGATTTAGAAAACAAGTTTTCGGTTTATAATTTATATATTCAGACTGACTTTAAGATTATTTGTTTCTTAAAAAATGTAATATAAATGTCTATGATATTGAATTAAAGTTTTTCTAATGATAGAGAGATGTACATGAATTATGTCTTCTAGGTGAAAAGAACATTCTTTTTTTCGAAACACGCTGCCAAAAAATGGACTACGCTCAAGTTGATAAAATAATAATATGGCGATTTAATTGATTAAGATAACAACTTCTGCAAAGTTGATTGAAAAGATTCAAATATTTTCAAAAATAAATCTTACTTAAAGATACATTATAGTTTTTAAATGTGCTATAATTATTGTAGTGAAAGAAATATTCTATCATGATTGGAATATTCATATAATTATTTGTTACAGTTATATTACTGTTATTGATTTGAACAGAGGTACTATTTAGTGGACCATTCGATACAAAGAACAATTCTAATGAATTTATCGTTCGATAAACATTCGAATTAAATGGTTCTATGGAATCGTTGATATGAAGATAAGCTCTACATGAACCTGAGTCATCGATTAGATTGAATTTGGCCGAAGACAGGTTGACTTCTATAAATACAAAAAAATTATATACAAAAATGTAAACAGATTTGTACAATTGATTACCATGAACTGTCATGTTTAATGAATAATTGCCTGAATCTGCATTAGCTTCGTAGATGCCACTATGAACGCGATTAACATGACCCAAATATAAGGAGGAGTCTGTAGCTCCAGGATCCGCGGTTATGTTAGTAAATAACGATTTATTTGGATAGTTATATTCTGGTGTGTCCGGCCCAAATTCAGCAATAATGCTTTTATTGAAAAACCATTTCAAGACAAAAGTATTTTTTCCTATGATTTTTACTTGATCGTATATCCACACTGGAACGTCAGTATTTTTCTCACTTTCTGTGATTTCAATATCACGAACTTGTCTTAGAATTGCTTGTGAACCATGAAAAATAATAAGCACTACGAAATAAATCCACCTATTCATCATTGAGTATAGAAACACGTATCAATTTAAATGAAAGACTATAGATAACAACGATATGGCATGAATCATTTGAATCAGTTAGTAAATATAACATTAATCACATCAAAAATATATTAACATTGTGAATCAATCGATATTATTGCATGTATGACAACTCTAGTATACTAATATTCAAGATAAAGATTGAATTTCAAGAAAAGTCGTAAAAGACTGTCGACGTTACCCACGCTTCAAAATAGTGAACAAAACTGCATTAAATCATTGAAATAAATACAGCATAATGTTTTACTCTGGTTGTTCTCTTGTCAACTCACTCAACAGATAAGGAACGCAAACATTTGCTATAGCAATGAAAGTCTTGGGGATACATCATGTTTTTAAATATTCTTAACAAATAAAGGATATATATCGATGGGATGTCGCTGGATCGATTCAGTGACCACGTTTAAATCCATTAAAACTTTCTGGTTTTGTAGAGCTTTTTGTGCTGATTATTTTGGTAATAATTTTTTACATGTGGATTTTATTTTCAAAGAGATACGAACCAAATACTCTAGATGCATTTTAAGTCTTTTTGCAGTAAATGAAAGTCGCATTTGCGTCAAAACACCGATGATAGTTCTTGATTACCTGCTTGCATCATAAAACCAACTACAGATTCAGATTCCTTAGCGTTTGAAAATTTTTTATACGGTCTACTGGTTCACTATGAAATGCACTGGAGACGAAAATTACACAAAAAAGTCAATCAAAAAGTTGGAATTAATCAGAATGGTGATATCACTAGCTCGGTAGAGCAAAACTTGCTCAACAAGATGCACTAATTCGTTTTTCTCCCAACTTTAATGTCGAAGGGAATAATTGCTGAAAACATTTATACACGCTCAGCAACAAGTCTTTTTATGGTATCATACTTTGCAACAAACTTATTACTGAGTATAGATATGACATGAGAGTTTTATTAAGGTTTGATTTGTACATCAAGATGAAATAAAATTTTCATGTGATATCTCTACTGAGTAATAAACTTAATGCAAAGTGTGAGAGTATAAAAAGACAAAGAGGAGAAAGATTTTTGCCCAGGAATGTATACCGAACGAACCAAAAGTCTTGGGACATTTCAGAAAAATCAATGTATTTCAAGAGAAAATAAAGTAATTAGATAATAAAATAATGATTTAAAAGCTACAATAGAGTACTAGTAGAACCAACTATGTTCATCTATAATTAGTTCACCATCGTGTTCTTCCACTGAACGTACTTGTCGAAGGAAAACATCGATTACGTCCTGTACATAATTAATACCAACTTTCTTGATTGCTTTTTTGACTTCTCGACGTAAATCATTGACTGCTTTGACTTTGGGATATTCGATGTGACTTGAAATGTTAGCCAAGATTGAATAACCTAATGGATTAAGCTCTAGAGAATTTGGTGACCATTTGAGTTTCGAGATGAAGAATTTGAAGCAATGTTGGCACCATTTTTGAACCATTTGATCAGTATGAAAGCTAGTCCTATTCTGTTGGAAACTTCAATTTTTGTGTCAAAATAGCCGATCATCCTCATTTTTATAGAATAGTAACAATTAAGTATAATAGCTTTCGCCATTTAGGCGTTCGTCGTTTTGAAAAAAGTATGGACGTGTAAGTCCATACTATGTTACACCCAATACAATCATGATACTCTTTGGATATTTTTCCATTCTGTGCAGTCCACCGTATTCATTAGCATCAGATCGATTATTAGCTTACATAACATCATTTTTTGAATTGAAAGAGCCATTTTTGGTAAACGTAGATAAATTTAACACCATATTCGAGTTTTTTGCGTCCCGATTCGCTTTTCGACTTGGGTTGGCTCTCTACTTGGTTGGGTTATATGCAGAATTAAATTCTGCATCGAATGGTGCCATTTTTAACCGGAGTCATCGAGCAAAAAATTCATTTTTACCCAAAATACCGACTTTTTGGAGACTTCCAAAAGAATTTTGCGTCCAAATTCGCTCTCGCACTTGGGTTGGCTCTACAAATGGTTGGGTTGAGTTCAGAATTCAATTCTGCATCGAATGATACTAATTTCGACTAGGGTTGTCGGACAAAAAAAATAGATGACGGTAACAATGCCACGTCAAAATTTCTAGTCCTCGTTCACCCTCACCTGTCGATTTTACCTGATAACCCTAGTCGAAATTAGTATCATTCGACGCAGAATTGAATTTTGAACTCAACCCAACCATTTGTAGAGCCAACCCAAGTGCGAGAGCGAATTCGGACGCAAAATACTTTTGGAAAAGTCCTCAAAAAAGTCGGTATTTTGGGTAAAAATGAATTTTTTGCTCGATGACTCCGGTTAAAAACGGCACCATTCGATGCAGAATTTAATTCTGCATATAACCCAACCAAGCAGAGAGTCAACCCAAGTCGAAAAGCGAATCGGGACGCAAAAAACTCGAATATAGTGCTAACTTTACCTACGTTTTTGATAAATATTTTTTCATCGTTAAACATAATTTTTTTAATTTATTACGACTGATGTTCTTCCTAATCCATTGGCAACATGATTTTCTCATTGGTTTTTGATCTTCTTTTAACTTTTGAACATTAATTTCTGCAATAACATTTTTTATTTAAATCAATATTGAGTATTCGCTTGATGATCTGAGCACTACTTTTTTAAGTCTTTCGCCATTGTTCGTAAACTTTTTTGAGGTATGTTAGAATCGAGCCTTTTTCCTCACCGAATAGATGATTTTTTTGTAGAGTCACTTCTTGGTCTTCCGGATTTGGGCTTAACATCGACTTAACCAGATTGTTTATACCGACATAGCTAACAATCAATTTACTTCGATGAACCTTGTTTCCCAATAATTTAGCAATTTCTGAAGCCTTTTTCCCACCCTTTGTAGTAGGACAAAGCCATATCTCGTAGATCGTGACTTTTCATCATCTTAAAATCAACGACAAAAGAAGTGAAAAAAATATCACTCTATCAGAGTGATAGAGGGCATGAGCCTGTACTTAAACTATATAAAATAAAACAGTTATCTCAATAAACGAATAGCAAATAAAGACTTTTCAAAATATTGTACAACTTTTGGCACATCTGGTATAAGTGTTTATTATCCTCAAGTAAATATATATTTAACTTCTTTTTTATAGTATTTGGGAAGAATAGTGATTTCTTTTTCTTTAGCAATTATGTTCTCTTTCGATTGGTTATCATTAAACCGATCTAACGAATCTTTACTATGATTTATTATAGAAATCAAACACTTTTTTACGATTTTTAGCGTAAAAAGCTAAATATATATTCATCTGAGGGAATAAAAACTTATATATAAATATTTTCAACAATTATTTCCTTCAAAATCAAAGGTGGGAGAGAAACTAATTAATGCATCTTGTAGAGCCAGTTTCGCCTTATCGACATAGTAATACTATCATATGGTTACTGCCAACTTTTTCATTGGGTTTTTTTGTATCATTTTCGTCTCCACTGCATAACTTAGTGAACCAGTACACTGTATAAAAAAATTTTCAAATTCCTTAGGAATCTGATACAGACTTTCACGAAGAATCTGAATCTGTAATTGGTTTTATGATGCGAGTAGATAATGAGGGACTATCATCGATATTTCGATACAAATGTGACTTTCATTTACTACAAAAAGACTTAAAATTTATCTATAGTATTGGGTTTGTATCTCTTTGACAATAGAGTCCAAATATAAAAAATTTATTGCCAAAATGATCAGCACAAAGAACTCTACAAATTCAGAAAGTTTCAATGGATTTGGACGTGGTTACCGAATCGATCTGGTGGCATCCCATGGGTGTATCCTAAAATTGCTATACAAGTTCTATATCATCATTACTAACGAGTTTAATGGTAACATTAATTTACTATTTTATTGCATTTCACGGCATGGAAGATGTCGTAAACAATTTCATGAAGTTGTTTCTATATAGAAGATAGTAACTTGTATAATAAAGAATAACAAGAAAAATACAAAAGTTATTAACATTTATAGTACACAGGTATATTCATATATGTATATATCATGAGGAAAGTATTCAGATGTTTGTTTTACGACTTTGCCGCATTGAATTTCTAATTGCAAACTTTGATAATGAACTACAAGTGCATTACGATGAGTAGTTGTAAACTACATGTTATTTGTTGTTCGCTTTTCGTACTCAATATATGTGTCTTAATAATAATCGCTGATACATCATTTGGCTTAAGCTAAGACGTATCATGCCCGTTTAATTTGATAAATCATGATCCAATTGGAAAGAGTCTGATATAAAAAGGGACCCAAATTAGAGATCATCGAATGCGACCGAATTGGAGACTGCCGTCATAAAACTGTTTACAACATTTAGATGACATACGTATCTTTTAACAGAAATAATTCATTTTGATGACAATCGGTTTCTTTTGATAAATAAGCTTATAAGAATAGATCTGCAATAGGGAATCTAAAACTTGATAACATAGAATTCGATAAGAAAAAAGTAGCATGTTAAATAAAAAGTTTAAAAATGCTGTTTCGATTTAACTTTTTCGAGATGGGAGTGATGCATGTGAGTATTTTCTGTTCCACAACAGTCCAAACCTATTGATGCGTATTA